TTACGAGAAAACTCAATGTGGGAACTGTGGTGAGGAAGCTCTCGGTTTAGCAGACCAATCTTTCAATGCATGCCAAAATTTAAATCAGCTATGCTGGCACTTGGCCTCAAGGGGCTAAAGCACAGGGAGAAACAGATGTAAATATATTATATTGGCCAAAGTTATTGACTTCTGTCACAGAGGTGTGTCTCAAGCACAGTGGGAAGACTGACAAGAAAACATTTTCTAAAAGCCTAAATATGTGTAATCAGATAAAACTGATGGACTGGGACTTGTAACTCTAATCCAAACACCACATTTCTATCTCCAAGAGCCATGCCCATCTTTACAGACAAAAAAAAATAGCTCTCAGTTATAACTGCCATAATTAGAGACTTCTTTCTCTGCTGTGCAAACAAAAAAATCACCTGTGAAACACGAAGAAGTCTTGACTAAAATAACCTATCACTCCGAAATTAATTCAACATGTGTTCACCGTTTTATCCTCTCCTGATGGTTTCAAGTTCCATCAATATGCTAAATCTGTATTTACAGGCTGAACCTGCTTCCTGATTTCCAGACGCATAAATGTGACCTCCTTCTTGATTTCTAGATGAGTTGTTCCTGCCTCCAATTCAAAAGTCCCTGCAGAACTCATGATCTCTTCTAACCTTACTTAACCTGAGTCCATCATCCATTAACTAACCACGCAGTTATATGAGGCCAAGCATTGGGTGTCATTCCTAGCTTTCCCTTCTCTATAGTTCCCACATTAAATCCAATGAATCCACTGATTCTGGTCCTGTTGATTCTACCTTCTGAGTACTTTTCAAATAGACCCTTGGCCTCCATCTCTATCCCAGTATCCTAGTGTTCAGAACACAATTGTCTTTCATTAGATTGCCACAGGAGTCTCCTCACCCGATACTCAACTGCTACCTTGTCTGCACATGAACAGATTTACAGTAGCCAAAATTATCCTTCTAAATTATTCAAATTTTGATTTCTGCACGACCCTGCCTCCAACCTCACAAAGGCTGTCCACTGGCCATACGACAACACATAATCATAATCTAGTTTCTAAATATCTCTTCAGGTTGGTCTTTTCTCAGGACCCAGGTGTCATTCCAAAATAATGCATTCTTTCAGTCTCACAAAAGAATCACTTCCAGGAGAGTCCTTCTCTCACTTCCAGGAGAGTCCTTCTGCTGACTCCTCAGCTCCTTGGAATTTAGCATAGCCATTACCTCTTTCAGGAACTGTTTGCTGACACCCCATGGCTGCTCTAGGTCCTATTTTGTTGTGCTTATTAAGATCTTAACATACAAGCATTTCATCGCACTTTACCTTATTGCACCTTGTGGATATTGTGTAACAGCACATGCTCACTTCATGTCTCTATATCACATTTTGGTCATTATCACAATATTTCAAATGTTTTCATTATTATTATAACCGTTATGGTAATCTGTGATCAGTGATCTTTGATGTTGCAATTGTAATTGTTTCAGGGCACCACAAACCTGGCCCATATAAAAGAATGAACTTAATTGATAAATTTTGTGTGTGTTCTGACTACTCCACCCACCAGCTATTCCCCCATATCTCTCCCTCTCCTCAGTCTTCTCTATACCCTGAGCCCATGCATCAAGTAAATTTTGACTTTCAAGTTTTATTATTTTAGAAATATGTTTCATAAGGCTACAGCTGCCATACATAGATAGTGATTCCTTTATGAATTTGAGCAAAGTAAATTGAAAACTTTCTGGAAAGGATTCACCATTCTAGATGTCATTAACAACAGTTATGACTCATGGAAGGAGGTCAAAATGTCAACATTAGCAGGTGTTTGGAAGAAGTTGATTGCAGTCTTCATGGATGACTTTGAGGGGTTCAAGATTTCAGTAGAGAAAGTAACTGTAGATGCGGTGGAAATAGCAAGGGAAGTAGAACTAGAAGTGGAACCTAAAGATGGGACTGAATTGGTGAAATCTCATGATCCAACTTGGAAGAACAAGAAGTTTTATCATGAGATAAAATAGAAGCTGCTATGAATATTGTTGAAATGACAATAAAAGGTTTATAACATTACATCATTAGTTAATAAAGAAGTGGCAGTGTTTGAGAGGATTGACTTGAATTTTAAAGTTCTACTGTAGGCAAAATGCTTTCAAATAATAATGCATGCTACAGAGAAATCTTTTGTGAAACGAAGAGTCAATGGATATGGCAAAATTTACTGTTATACTTTCCAAACTTGCCACAGCTACCCCAATCCTCAGCAGCCATCACCCTGAATAGCCATCAGTATTGAAGCAAGACCTTTCCACCAGCAAAAAAGACCATAACTCACCGAAGGCTCGGATGATAGTTAGCATTTTTGAACAATAAAGTATTCTAAATTAAAATATTTATAGTTTTTAGACATGCACTATTTCACATATACGGCGTGGTATAAACATAACTTTTATACCCACAGAGAAACCAAAAGTATTTGCATGACTTGCTTTATCGCAATATTTGCTTCATCACAGTGGTTTGGAACTAGAACCCACAGTAACACCAGCGTTGCCTGTACATCCCGCTTCATTTCAATGGCCCACTAATTGAGTTACATTCCATACTACATGATTAATGCCTCGAGGTCGGTGACTATGTCTTAATTTTGTCTGTAAGTCTCGTCACTAAAATAGTTCTGAGTGCACAGTAGGTGATGAGGTTTACTTTGATGCTGAGCAACCTGCAAAGGTATTTTTACTCAATGCTTTATCCACTCAGATTTTGCCCTCATGAGTCAAAACCATAGTTATAAATAAATGTATAAATGTATGTATACGTATATGCATACGGTCAGTTGGCCCTCCATATCTGTGAATTTCACATCCTTGATTCAACAAACTGTGGATGAAAAGTATTTTCAGAAATCAATAAAAAATACAAGCTAATAAAAAATGTAGTATAGCATCTATTTACATAGCGCTTACATTGTATTAGGTCTTGTTATTAATCTAGAGATGATTTAAATTATGTGAAAGAATTTATGTAGGTTATGTTCAGTACTATGTCATTTTATATAAGGCACTTGAGCATCCGTGAATTTTAGTATCCATGACACACACACATACACACACACACATACATATATATTTATTTATGTTTGTAACTACAGTACATCATATTTATATAAAAACTCTGGGCAGGATAATAACCATGAAAATGGAAATGGTAAGTATGATAAATAGGCCAAAACCTAACAAAAGGCCCCAGGAACTCAGAAGGAATCATCAATGCTTATGTTTGACAAAGGTGGTCAAATACAGAGAGTCTCAAAGTTCTACTTAGACTAGGTAACTTGCAGCTTAAAATTCCACCACTGGAATTTTAAGATTTCCAGATAGAACATGGCTACTCACAGGAATTGCTTGTGAAATGTAAATACTCTTAGGAGACAGGCTTCATTAAGTCTCCAGATACCTTAATGTTAACTAGTTTATGGAATCTCCTTCTGCTGTAATGATGAGCCCTGGGAGTTGGGGTTGACTCTAGAGATGACAACAGAAGCATACTTCACCTCCTGCATCATCGTATCTGGAACTGTTTCTACCAGGGCCCTGTGCTTGCTAGATGTTGGTATCCTGGGCATGGTGGCTCACCCCTATAATCCCAGAACTTTGGAAGGCTGAGATGGGAAGATCACTTGAGGTCAGGAGTTTGAGAACAGCCTGGGCAACATAGTAAAACTCTGTCTCTACAAAACTTTTTTAAAAAGTAAAAATTAAAATTAAGAGCCAGCAAAAGATTGCTACCTTGTTTCGGCTTTTTTGAGGTCTAACAGAAGTAAGCTAAAGAGCATCTACTTAACAGGCACCATAGGACGGCTTTGTTTTATTTTTAATTTAATTTAATTATGTTAAGTTCCAGGACACATGTGCAGGACAGGCAGGTTTGTTACACAGGTAGATGTGTGCCATGGTTTTCTGCATCTATCAACACATCACCTAGGTATTAAGTTCCACATGCATTAGCTATTAATCCTGATGCTCTTCCTCCCCGCACCCCCCGACAGGCCCTAGTGTGTGTTGTTACCCTCCGTGTGTCCATGAAATGTACACACACCTTTAAAACTGTCACCACAATCAAGACATCTTTTACCCCCTCAAAAAATTTCCTTGTGCCCCTTTATAATCCATCTGTCCTTCCACCTTATCCTCTGCAACTATTGATCTGATTTCTGTCAGTCTAGATGAATTTGCACTTTCTTGAATTTTACGTAAATCACAGAGTATGTGCTCTTTTTGGCAGGCCTTCTTTCACCCAACATAAGGATTCTGAGACATATCCATGTTGTTGTGTGTGTCAACAAAGTTTTTACTGTATGAAAGTGATGATATCTTTTAAGCCATTCTTTCTACTATCATAATCATTTTGTATAAGAGAAGGCCTTTTAACCATCAAAATAGTGACAGGATGTGTTCTCCAAATAAGAATAATTGTTCTCCAGAATGAGAAATTGGCAATGTCATGTTGACAAAGAGTGAAGTTCTTGGGTAAAATAGTATACACATCATCACCCAAGGCCAGTCCTTCTCCTGGCCACGAAAGGGAAGCGCTGCCCCTACAAAGCCCTATATACCTCATTCAGGGAGGGAGAAAAGCAGTCCCTCTTGAGACCTGTTTCCATGGTAACCAGTGAGCAATTGACAATGTGGCTGCAGTTGGGCCTCCTTGAAGGGGAAAAATCTTCAATAGGAACCAGGCCACTGAGAGATGGGAGAAGGGACAGCTCATACGCAAACCTCACGAGGAGGCTACAGGAATCACCGGACGGCTACTTTATTGGGAAAGCCCCCTGTAACTTTCCATAGAAATAGAGAAGGGAAAAGAGACCCCTCAGATTCAAATGGATGCATGAACTGGCAGCAGTCAGGGCAATGATGACATCACAGAGGGAGGATGGGCCTTAGACAGACATCACCCTTTAGAATCCCTGCAACTTTGAGCAAATTCATGAATCTCACTAAGGGTCAGTTTGCCCCATAGAGTTATGCAATAGCAGGGCCTCTGCATTGGAGAACTCCAGAGGGCACCATTGGGTTATATTTTATGTTTGCCTAACCTTCATTGCAGTGAGTAGGTGCATTCTTTCCACAATGTCCTGAGGTCTAAAGGGGTAGAGTTCTGTGTGTGGCATTTGAGTCCTGAAAAGATGGGAGCCCACAAAACTGGAGAAATACTGCAGGTGAGTGAGGAGCTAAGATCCAGATGCCTCCTGCCCTGTTGTTCATCTCCAAGATAGGAGGCCCCAGATTCCCAGCATCTGAGCCCCTGTGTAAAAGCAAGAGTATCAGTCGATGAATTTCACACATTGCGCCTAGTAACTCCCGAGATGGCCTATCAGATCTCCAGGTATTGGAGGTTCCGCTCAGTAACAGCCTGGCAGTGAAGCAAACCCAGGTTCAAATGCTCTGCCATTTAATAACTAGGTAATCTTGGATGGATTACTTAATCATCTTAAGCCTCATTTACCTCATGATAATTTATTTTGTAGAGTTGCTGCAAGAATCAATGTGAAAATGTACATAAAGTGTTTAGCAAACACTGTAGTGCTCAATAAATGTCAGCTTTGTTGTAACTCTTTGGATTTTCCCTAGGCAAGGTAAAAGCTTTCTTGGAGCCTTTCTCTTAATCAGTCCTGCCTCAAACATCCCTTCTGCTGAAACAAACTGTGATTAATCCGCTGTACACCTAACACTCCACTAAATGGGGCACAGTGCAAAGGTCTGTAATGAGAATCTTTTTTAAAGTAAAGCATATACATCAGTCTCAACACAGGTGAGCATCAGAATTACCTGGAGACGTTTACAAAAATGCAAACAACATTTTGAAAAGTCTAATTCAGTAGGTTAGTTTAAAGCTGTGATATTGTAATAATTTATTTATATAATGTATATTTATTTATAATAAATGTATATTTGCTCTTGGTCTCTATTTTTGGCACAGAGCTCCTAAAGCCGTTGGAATGTCCTAAGTGTTGAGTTTTTGCTAAAGAGGTCACTTTTGGAAAACCTCTAAGGATGGAGGGCTGGTTGCCAGGGGAACGAAACCATGTGATTAGAGGGTTGAAACTTTCACCACCCACCTCCCTAACCTCTAGGGAAGGGCGAGTGGCTGGAGGTTGACTTAATTTGCAACGGGCAATGATTTCATCAATCATGCCTACGTAATGAACCCTCCACAAAAAGATCTTAACAGAAGCACTTCAGAGAGCTTCCAGGTTGCTGACCACATGGAGGTCATGCCTGAGAGGGTGTGAAAGGCCCACACCCCTTTTCCATAGCTTGCCCTACTTACCTCTTCCATCTGACTGTTTCTAACTTGCATCCTTTATATTAAAGTAATAATCTAGTAAATGAACTTTTCCTGAGTTCTGTGAGCCATTCTAGCAAATGGTCAAACCCAATGAGGGAATGGTATGAACCTCTGATTTACACCCATTGGTAACCTGCACAGGTGACAACGTGGACTTTCCATCAGCATTTGAAGTGGGAGGAGTCTTGTGAGATTGAGCCCTTAATTTGTGGGATCTGCTACTAACCCTAGTAAGTGTCAGAATTCAATTGAATCATAGAGAACTCAACTGGTATCCATGGAGAATTGGTGTGGACCCTACACATTTGGGCACAGAAGTGTTCTGTGTGGAGTGTGCAAATAGAAGAAAAGTATGTTCTTCCCTATTCAAAGGCAGAGTTGTTTATCTGTGCTGCTTTGTTTTTAAAGATTCCCTGGGTGATCCTAGTGTGTAGCCAAGATTGAATACTATTGATCTAGAGCAGGAGTTGGCAAACTTTTCATGGAAAAGGCCAGTTAGTAAATATTTCAGGCTTTGCAGGCCACCTACATATTTTGCCACATATTCTTTGTTTGTTTAGAAATGTAAACATAATTCTTAGTTTGCAGGCTGTACAAAAACAGGCCATGCCCAGATTTGGCCAACAGGTTGCATTGCTTGCTGATTCCTGGTCTAGAGACCGTAGCCCTGGAGGTCCGTGATCTAATACATTCTTTGGTTACATCTAGAATCTAATGAACACATTGACCCAACACTCCCTTTGGCTAAGTTGCCAATTCTCCACCATTTATTGGCCTGCCTCGCTCTACACTTCAGCAAGCCAGTGCAGGGCTGCACTGTAGCTAAGAGGAAACCTCCTTCAAGGCTGCACAGCAAGCAGTGTTGGCAGAGCAGCTGGGTTTCCACCAGAAGAGCACAAGTGAGAACCATGCTGGGCTCAAGCATGGATATGCACTGCTGCTGCCAGAGCATCATCATTTACAAGCATTTATTGAGTACCTTTCATCTAATTTTCATCCTCCAGAAGCTATAAATTGCTACACTTGCACACAATAAACTTTTGGCAGTTAGCCTTCTGCATTGGGACACTACCATTTGGGAGGAAAAAGACCTTTCTGGTGGGTAAAGATAGGACCTCCAGTTACTGCATTTGTTTTAATACAGCCTACTCTATAGGGCCATTGATGGAGAACCATTGTGTAACCTTTTGTGGCAAGCTTCTGACTTTTTTCTCAATGCACAGGTAGAATGTAAAGAGACATCCTCATCAAAGCTAAGGCACTTGCCCCAGCCTAGGAACTTAACTCTTCCACAGCCTACATGTGGCTCTTTAGATGTCATGCCATAGGTTTCCAGAGGCCTCTCGGGTCCTGCCCTGCTGAAGAAGAAGTCAAGGGAAGCAGCTGTTGAGTAACTTTCTTTTGGATCTTGGGTGCTGAAGATCAGTTCCTTCCATTTTTTTGGTGTTTGGATAGTTCACTCCACCTGCAAGCTTTACCTCATTTCTAGTGTATTGTCCTTTGGAGAAGTGGAGTTTCAGATAACAGCAACTCCACTTGAAGCCCAGATTAAATATGGGAGACCTATTTTCTGCATCATAAGATGGAGAAATTTTTATTATACCAGTACTCTTAGGAAGCGAACTGTTCAGAAAAATGATTTGGATTGAAGAGGGCACAAAGATAGGCAGAAGAGTTGGTTGTAAAACAAGGGGGAGAATTAATTGTTTTCTCCACTGAATGAGGGAGAAAGAAAATAAAAGGGAAGAGGCTGGATATATCCAGCAAGACAGAGGAGTGGATGCTCTCCATGCATTCTTTCTCTCACCTAATCCAGTTCTTTCATGTTACAAAATTCACAAAATGGCCTTGTGTGCATGAATTTTGGTGGAAACAGTGAAGAAACTGAGCTTCATGCTGACATTGATATAGGGTGGGGCAGCTCTAGGGTAGCTTATGTGAATGAGAAATGGAGAAAGAGGGAAAATCATAAGGAGTTAACCCCAAAAACTTGGCCAAGTGCAGTGGCTCGCACCTGCAATCCCAGCAGTTTTGGAGGCTGGGGTGGGTGAATCACCTGAGGTCAGGAGTTCAAGACCACTCTGGCCAACATGGTAAAACCCCCATCTCTACTAAAATAAAAAGATTAGCTGGGCACAGTGATGGATGCCTGTATCCCAACTACTAGGGAGGCTGGGGGAGGAGAATTGCTTAGACCCAAAAAGCAGAGGTTGCAGTGAGTCAAGATCATGCCACTGCACTCCAGCCTAGACGACAGAGTGAGACTCTGTCTCAAAAAACAAACAAACAAAACCTCCCTCAAATTATGGAGAGAGCTCCAAACTTTCTCAAGATTGTGCAGTTAGCTATTGTTTACAGTTAACTAAATCTTGATCTGATGTTTATCTCTTATTTTCATTTTTAATTTAATAAATGCTTCATGTGACTTCTGAGTTATAGCTAGCTGTCCTAGATCACATTTTAGTGCCAGAGTATCAAATGGTAGATTTATTCTCTTTTTTTAAAAAAAGAAAATCAATAACCAGTTTGCAATGCCTTTGATAGAAATTCAATGACTAACATAAGGTTTTACTTTATCAAGAAGCTGGGATATTGTCAATAGCTATCCAAGTAACTGATTCAAAATCCAATTGTGAAAACATTCACCGGGCACTCTCTGCATGCAAAGCAGTGAGAAGGTGCTGGGAAGATTAAGAGAAATCAGATCCAGTCTCCCTCCTCAGGAGACATGGCACAACATAGCATGATCATGGGACCAGAGCAGTGATTCCGACATGCATTTTAGAGACAAACATGGTGGAGGCCATGTGACTTAATCAGCAGGATGGAACTAAAATAGGGCTGCCTAGGATTATACAAATTATGCTGGCACTGCTGGAGATTTCCAAACTACAGACTACCACTGTCATGGCAGGTGGGGGATAAGTGGAGGCTGAATCCCTTCTGTGCACCATTCCAGGACTTTCAGCCTGAAATACGCCAGTAATGTAGGCAGAATGGCCAGGAAGGGTTTATGAAGGGTGTACCATATGCCCAAGATCAAAATCACCTCTTGAGGAATCCCTCCCAAATGTTTCAGAGTCATCTTTCAAAAGGCTTTTAGAAAAGCCTTTTGTTTTTCTAAAGATATGTTATTTCAAGAGGCTGATGTCTGAGTGGCCTGGAAGACAACCTGGGAATTGTCTGGAGAGGAGGCAGTGGACCTCTAGCTGTGATGAGACATAGGAATAAGGAGTGGTGAGCTAAGTGTGCATGCAATACGCAAAATGGAGAGAACAGTAAGTGAAATGCGAATAAGAAGGTGTTTGCCCAAAAGCAAATTTAATTCTCTTCTACTCCTACTGGAGAGAAGAACAAGGGGTTTAGGGGGAACACAGCAATGCAGCATCCACAGACACATAGTATATGCTCAATAATCAATATTTGTTAAAATAATATACACATATAAAAATAAGGTCTAGAAACATCACTTGAGAAGCACAGGATGTAATTCACTCTTCCAAGCCAAATTTTATTTATGGGATCACTTTAAAAGGCAGCGGCAGTCGTGCTACTCAGACCGTTTCCACTGGGAGAGAAGTTCTGAGGACTCTGAAAACTTACAGGAAGAAGCAGGCAAGACCAGAGATTGTGATAAGTAAAGCGATTAACTTGGGAGCTGTGTGGGGGGAAGAGGATGTCTCAACTTAACCAAGGTTCAGAGATAATAGAAGCTTTTCACCAAATGAAAGGTGACTGAGTGACCTACTGTCATTGATTTCAGGAAAAGCTCTCAGACAGAACAGGTAGACTCAGACAGCACTCTCAGGTGAAGACCTCAAGGGAATTCAGCTAGTAGAGGCAGCCCCAAAACGCCACAGGAATCTGGCTCATATCTGGGAAACCTGAACAAGAAAGGATTTATAGATCTCAAAATTATACAACGAGAAATTTACCAATAAACACAGGAAAATATAACATTCCCAGAAATATCAGCTACCAACAAATACATTTTCAGGTGTGCTTCAGGATTAAGGTTTATAAAAGTGTGTTAAGAAATAGAAATATTGTTGATATGTGTTCCTGGAAAAAAAAAAAGAGCAAGGGTGAGAGAATTGCAACTCCAATTCTTTTTTTTTTTTTTTTTTAATGTATGAGAAAACTGAAACCCAGAATGATAGTGGCTCACTCAAGGTCTCACATCTACTGAGTAGCAAGTCTTTGTTCATAGCTGCATATAATATATCACCACCTGACATATTGTATATCCTTCTATTTGAGTATTCTTTCCATTAAAATGGGACTTTATTTGTTCACTGTGGTATTCTCAGAAGCTAGAACCATGACTGGCACTGAGGAGATACTCAGTAAGCATGTGCTAAATGAGACAGTGATTTAAATCTTCAGACTCATGTTCTAATGCCCTTCAGATTACACCATCCTGTTCTCTAAGTATAGGAGAACGTGTAGCACTCAAACCAGCAAGTATTTATCAAATACACATCACATGCCTGGTACTGTGCTTGGTGGGAAGATGTATTAGTGAGGACTCTTTCAGAAGCAAAATGCAAAAACCCAACAGAAACTACCTTAAACCTAAAAAGATGGAAGGGGAATTCATTGGTTTATATGACTGAAAAGTTCTAGCATAATACTTTTAGAAATTGCTTCAACTAGCGCACAAGCTGGGCTATCTGGGTTCTCTTTATTACTCAAGGCTCTGCCTTTCTTTGCATTGGCTTCACTCTTGGTCATGATTTCCTTAGACAATAACCCTGATGTTTCAGGAAAGAAAATTCCTCTGTCCTAACAATGCAAGCGAAACTCTAGGTAGGTTTCTTCTTGGTCCAGTTTGGATCATGTACCCATTTGCAAATGAGTCACACTTATGCAGTAATTTGCTTAACCAGAGTGGATCCAGTGTCCACCTATGGAACCAGAGATGAAGCCAGCCCCTTTAAAAATACATTGGCTGGACTAAGTGTGATTCTCTAAAAGAAAATTGCAATACCCCATCCAAAAGAGAAGATTCGCTGTAAAGATGAAGAGCATACACATCCTCCAGCCCCCTTCAGGGGCTGGGAGTCAAAGCGTTTAGATGAGCCTCTAAGCCTCAGAAAGTTAATACTTTGTTGGGGCAAAACACAAGTCAATTTATAAGTAACATAAAATGGAATTTCATTAAGATCATTTCTGAGCTCCTATTTAACATGGGCACATCACACTGTGTAAAACTGTATCAATAATTCTAAAGGTTCAACATCTTTTTAATATACAATGCTGTGCTCTGTACGCAGACACCTCTACACCACCTGTGAATGATATTATACACCTGCTCCTTCTAAGTTATCAATATGGCACTGCCAAGCAGCCAAGAGTTCAGGTTTGGCCTTACTTTGAGTAGTGTTCATGCAATTGATGGCCATTCTACTGTTTTGTTTTGTTTTGTTTTTGCTTTTAAAAAATAAAAATAAAGAAACAAAGAAAAAAGATAGCACACGAAATTATTATGTAACTATATAATAATAGTTCTCTTGAATTTCAGGAAGCTCAAACATAGGGACCACTAGGTGAAGGAAAATTAGCAAGTCTCTCTCCTCAGTTAAATGTTCTCTGGACCACATTTGACTGGGCATTCAAATGTAAAGGAAGACAATTAAAGAACAGGTACTGGACTCTGGAAATGCAGTTTTTTTAGCTTTCGTAATAAGTCTGCCTGTTGCACATATTTCTCTCAAATATCTTTTGGGACTCGGTTGTCTATGAATGTGGAGACCTGCCTATCTGTGCATCAGGGCATGAGAGCTATCTAGATCTGTGCTGATTAAACTTTTGTTCACTATGTTTGTTATATTTTCCTAACTCCTCTCCTATCACTTAGCATTTCTCCTTAACTCCCCTTTTTACTTAAGTACAATTATTTATTTGTTTATTTATTTTTTTCAGACAGAGTCTTGCTCTGTCGCCAGGTTGGAGTGCAGCACCACGATCTCGGCTCACTGCCACCTCCGCCTCCTGGGTTCAAGCGATTCGTCTGCCTCAGCCTCCCAAGTAGCTGGAACTACAGGCACATGCAATCATGCCTGGCTAATTTTAGTAGAAATGGGTTTCACCATATTGGCTAGGCTGGTCTCGAACTCCTGACCTTGTGATCCGCCTGCCTCAGCCTCCCAAAGTGCTAGGATTACAGGCACAAGCCACCACAACTGGCCAAATATTTATTTTTAAAGGAAGATCTCTGTCACAAACATAAATGGGACTGGGATCTCTGCCATAAATAGAAAGTATCTGAAAAATAAAACAATGTTATTAAATTCCAGCTAGATACTGCTGCCAAGCCTCTAAACCCAAGGCCTGTTCTCTCTTTATTAAGAAAAAATGACTAGCAAGTATCAGAGAGTTAGTAAAGACATATTAGCACCAAATTTGCACTTTTTCCGTTGCTTACAGATAAGAATTGAAGTGAGAAGCAGTGACTTCCTTACTATAAGACATTGTTTAATCCCTTGTTCATGTGCTACCTACAGAGATCCCAGACCACCACTCATGATGCCAGGCTGGAGGAAGTAGCAGGCTAGAGGAATTCAGGACAGATGAGTCAGGAAAGAGGTATTGTTGAAGACTTCCTGGAAGCAATGACACTTGAGCTTGTCCTCACCAGGGCGGAGTGGTTTTGACTGTCTGCTGTGGGAAATGCCACTTGGTAAGGCTGCAGGCAGGAACGGGCACACAGTTAGGTCCGCCTGAAGGACCGGTGGCGCCTAGTCCTGTTGCAGTGTCCTCAGGACCAGGGTATTCATGCAGGGTAGCGGGGAGGAGCAGGGAGCCTCTATTCCATTGGCTCTTCAATTTTTTATTTGAATCAGTTGCTTCTGACTCCAGTTAACATTCCTTTTTATTTTTGCTCAGCACAGATCTCCGTCACTAATGGTACTGTTCTCACCTAGGACCCAATGCAGAGCTCACATCCCACCTTCCTCTCCCATGGCAAAGCACTGACAAACCCCTGCCAAAGGTGAAGCTCAGCTGCAAAGCAGTGTGGAGCTGGACCCAGGATAGATTCACCCGGAGCTCACCACCGCAGGGAATGCTGCACTTTGACCAGGCAGAATGTATCCTCCATGCCCACAGAGCATGTGCCTGGGGTTGAATCTCACTGTATCTCACCCCAGTTCCTCATGATGGGCCCCAAACCTCTTCTTTTATAGTAATAAAGAAAACACACTTTACAAAAAGGCAGTTTATCTATGAACATATTGGCTAGGATAACACATTTAGAGCTAAATGTGTCGCTGAAAATGGACTCATTTTATATCTCCGCATACTGTAGATGTTTAAAAAAAGGTACATGCACAGAAACTATGGGAACTGAACTGGTATATGAGCCAATTACCCTGGACTCTGCTGTAATCTGACTTTTGTGTAGCACATTTTCTTTCTCTAACGTTTTTCTTAAAGGAGGGTAGAGAGTGGAGGCAAAGGAGACAAACTAACAGCAGAGCATTTTATTTAGACAAAAGGAAATGTATTCAGCCTATCTTAAATTATTTTTCATCAGCATGATGTTTTGTAATTTAAAAGTATTTTGCTTGATAATATATAATTGAATGTTGTATGCAATTAGTCATGTCATCACAGCTCTTTAAAGATTTCTCTCAATATCTAATAATTTCTTCTAGTTTCTTTCATCTTCAAAATACATCTGGAATTTTTACTTATTTTTATCTCTACTGCCATAAGCCTAGTCCGAGTCAATGTCCTCTCTCATTAGAAAACTGTGGAAACCTCCTCCTTGGTCTCCTGCTTTGCATTCTTGTCCTTAAATAATCTATTCTTCAAATAGCAACCAAAGGACTCTTCTAATCCTATCACTCTCACTCTTAAATCTCTCAAAGGCTCCCCATTGACCTCAAGTTGGAGCCCAATTTCCTTCTGGAACCCTATGAGTTCCCCATCCAGCTTCATCTCTCACCACACACCCTTCCTTGCTCATACTCTGCTGATCTTGAGCTCTGGCCTGGAGGCAAGCCTTCTGATGTAGAGGTTAGAAATCCCGACACCCCACCTGATCAGCTATATGATCTTGGATGAGTTACTTAATCATGCCACTTGCCTCATTGACAAGACAGGAGCAACAATGATCCTTACCTCTGAAATTCATTTTGGGATTATATGGGTTAAAATAACTTGAACAGGTTTGCACTAGCCACAGGCTGGAGGGCATTTTAAGATTTTGTTCTCTCCGGGAAAGGGACCTTCTTTCCCCATCTCCTTTGGACCTTGGATAGATTCACCAGGAGCTCAACACGGCAGTGAACGCTGCACTTTGACAAGACAAAATGCATCCCAAGTGCCTGCAGAGAACATGCCTGTGATGAGTCTCACTGTCAGAACACACCAGTGCAAACCCTACTTACCCATCAAATCCTATCTGTTACAGGTTTAATTGTGGTCCTCCAAAGTTTGTACACTGAAGCCCTAACTCCCAGTACTTTATAATAAAACTGTATTTAAAACCAAGGTTTTCAAAAGGTGATTAAGTTAAAATGAAGCCACTGGGGTGGTCCCTTATTCAATCTTACTGCTGTTTGTCTAAGAAAAGGAAAATTGGACATACAAAGAGACACCAGGGATGCACACCCACACAGAATAGCCCATGTGAATACAGAGTGAGAAGACAGATATCTGCAAACCAAGGAGAGAGTCCTCAGCATTGTCGGGGGGATGCTGACAGCTTGTTCTTGGACTTTTAGCCCCTACAAATGTGAGAAAATAAATTTCTAAATTTCTGTTGTTTAAGGCATCCAGCCTGTCATATTTTGTTATGGCAACCCTAGCAAACTAACACAGATTTGCAGAATCTGAACTTACGAAGCCTCCAAAATTGTGTGAGCCAATTCCTTAAAGTATCTATTATCTAGCTAGTTATATTTATCTATCTATCTATCTATCTATCTATCTATCTATCTATCTATCTATCATCTATCTGTCTGCCTATATATCTATCATCTATCTGTCTGTCTGTCTGTCTATCTATCTATCTGTCATCTATCTAATCTTGTTGGTTCTGTTTCTCTGGCAAACACTAACAAATATACTGTCCTAAGAGGAATTTCCTTAGGAGGGTGCTCTTGCCTGAACATGGAAATGGATTCTCCTGTTTTAAAACAGGAGAATCCTAGAGATGTTTGCATGTCTCCTCCCAGCACCTGCAGGAACAAATGGTTGCATTTGTGATTATGTGTTCACCATCAATCCAGCCATCACACAGTGATGTCCTAGAGTAAATGGCCATGTCTGTTGTTTACTGCCACACCCCAAGGACCTATCATGGTTAATTAGTGTTGGATGAATAGACATGGAAGATCCCATGAAGTCATGAGTTCATATTATCTGTTTGCTCTTATAACTCACAAGAAAATTAAAAGAACACATCTTTTTGTAGAGCTGATTGATACATTCACCAATATGATTAATATATTAATCATCCATCAGTCTCTTATTTTAAACAATATTTTACTGGGTTTATGTATTCAGTGAGAGAAAAACTTTACTCCAAAACTCTTATTATTGTGGCTCCTTGTACCTTAATGTCACACAGGTGCAGTAAATATAAATGTGAGTGGGTGAGGGATTGAGCAGCTGTGATTGACAACAGTGACAATAGACTGTGGAGCAAGAAGTAAGGGGAGTTGCTGACTGGATTCTATATTTAATATTTCCAAGCAAATGAATTCTATCACTCTGTGAGACTTAGCTATGCCTCAGGGCATGACATTTTAGCCATGATTTTTTTTTCAGTTTTTGTTTGCATCTTGGATTGCAAACTTCTGGTTCTTAAATAAAAATAATGTACTTTTTTTATTTGCAAAGTAACCACATGGGACAGGGGAAAATGCACCAGAGGGGTAACCAATAGAGTGGACCAACTGGCACAAATTGTGTGCCTTTCTTAGATACCATCCTTTTCATTACCTCTATCCCCAACTCTCTAATGTCTGCTACAACGAGGGAATGATTTAGATAGTTCTAAAGACTCTCTCCAACAATGGGAGCTTATGGAACAGTTAACTCGCCTGATAGGTAAGAAGACCAGTGTCTTCTATGCTGTGTCTCTCAAGATTTGTTTCAGAAGTATTCTCTCTGACACACACACACACACACACACACACACACACAATCTCAATGATTAAGGGTCTATGATATTCCTAGTACTATGATAGATACTGGGAAATATAAGGATAAACAAGAGTTGCCTGTCATCCTGGAAACGAGATGCAATGGGCACTTGCATTATTGGGTGATAAGTGCTCTGATAATAGAAGCCCTAGGTCCCCCGACTTTACATCACGAGACCCTCACATACCACTGTGTGGAGAGAAATTAAGGAAAGCTTCCTGGAGGTATTGGAGCCTCAATACACTTCAAGGATGAGTGAAGTTCACTGGGTGAAAGTGTTGGAATATGTGTGCGTACATGTTGGCATGATGATCAGATGTAAAGAATACATTCCAAGCAAAAGATTCCAGCCACATGAGCTCTTCCCTGCTTCCTGATCTTTACCACTGTGGTCACTTTAATTATTGGTTCCATCTGGAAACTCTGTCATCTCTATTGATTCATAGTCCACATACTCTTCAAGGCCTGGGTAAAATACTGTCCCCTCCGGGAAGCCTTCTCTGATCACTAAAAAGTCCAGAGCCAGCCTAGGTGATCCTCCCATCACATCAGTCATGAGTCACAATAAGCAACCACAGGATAAAAATGTACATTCAATAAAATGACAATACTCAAAACATGTCTGAAAATAATTTCTATCATCAGTACATACTCAGGAAAATGAAGAAAACCATACAGAATTAACAAGAATTCTTTTTTTTTTTTTTTTTTTTTTTTTTTTGAGACGGAGTTTCGCTCTTGTTACCCAGGCTGGAGTGCAATGGCGCGATCTCGGCTCACCGCAATCTCCACCTCCTGGGTTCAGGCAATTCTCCTTCCTCAGCCTCCCGAGCAGCTGGGATTACAGGCACGCACCACCGTGCCCAGCTAATTTTTTGTAATTTTAGTAGAGACGGGGTTTCACCATGTTGACCAAGATGGTCTCGATCTGTTGACCTTGTGATCCACCCGCCTCGGCCTCCCAAAGTGCTGGGATTACAGGCTTGAGCCACCGCGCCCGGCCAACAAGAATTCTTTTTAAAAAATTCTATATTCTTATAGTTCTCATATTTAATACCAACGAGTTTCTAGCAAAAACGTAACCCTCTTAGCTCTTTTTTGCTCTCTGGTCATTTTTCTTTGCTTTGGTGAGTCATTTTCTCTTTTTTTTTTTTTTCAGAATAACCATGGAGGGGTGCTAATATGCATGCATTTCCCCTTCACATTTGAATGGGAATTTGTGCTATCAATATCTGACTTGACTCACCCGGCCAGTGATTTGTGTTTAAGGCAGAGAGGCTCCCAGTTGAAACTTTTAAAACTTCTACCAAGAAAGTTCCCAAAGAACATGAAAAGATTCTCTCTCAGTGAAAAAGAAAAAAATGCATTCTCTCCTCACCTCCATTTTTTTCTTTATTTATTTAATCAATTCTTTACCATTTGTTGAATATGAACTATGCCAAAGTACTGGAAGAAGCCTTCCTACTCTAGTTCAAAGACCTTATGGTTTTCTGAAAATATAAAATTAAGTTTCAGAGGAGATTACCTTAGGGAAGGCCTTCATTAAAGCTTTTTTTTTTTAATCTTTTTATCTTTTCTTTTGAGATAGGATCTCACTCCATCATCTAGGCTAAAGTGCAGTGGCATGATTATGGCTTACTGCAGCCTGAAACACCAGGGCTCAAGCAATCCTCCCACCTCAGCCTCCCAGGTAGCTGTGACTACAGGCACATGCCACCATGCCTGACTAATTGTTTCTAAGAGATGACGTTTCATTATGTTGCCCATCTTGGTCTCAAACTCCTGTGCTCAGTGCATCTTAATCTTAAGAGTTTGCTACAGAATTGCCTAGAAAAAAAAGGAGTTAATGAGGCTGAAGTCTATATAAAGTTTAACTAGGTTTGCAGAAGTGGAAAGTCTTTTTTTCAGAATTAGTCTGTGTCTTTGGATACTGCCAGACATCTTACAAGTTAAGGCCACTGATCACAAGAAAAATCAGAAAAG